GTGTTCTGTCTACCCCGATTTGGGCCAATAATCAGAAGGTCTGGCCTGGTTTTTGCTTGTTGGCTTGGTTCAGTCTGGACCTACAAAGACACGGCACGTGACGAGGCCATGGGTGCGCCGCCCAAACCGCTGGTGCTGCAGCTGAGGCAGCTGGAAACCACCTGCATCGCGCGGCGCCTCGAAATCCGCTTCACTCCAGGTGGGTTTTTGCCGTAGGGTTTCATCCAAACTGGTACAGGAATTTGTGGCAGGTGCTTCTACTAGCCGTGTTAGAACCACAAGTCGCAGATTTTGGGCGCTCAGATGGGTCTGTCTTTAAGCTTGCCAGTTCTCAGCAGGGAATTGGAGGAAAGGCCACAAAATGAAGCATCCAACTCGTGGTTTCCCAGAGGTTCAATAGTTTCATTCCCGAAGCCCTCGCTCGTGTAGGCAATTGGTTAGTTTGATTAAACATAGATGGCACTGGCTTCAATGATTTCAGGGTGGATCGGTGGATCATTTGCCAGTGACATCTATTTGCCCACAGGGATGCCTAGGTCCAAATGGGTCTGTCTAATGGGAGGCCCAGCAATAAGAATTCCTTGTTGTTGATGGGAAACCACAAGAAGGTTCCACCAATATGGCCTGGTGCTGAACCGGGATCGCTTCCTTCATCCAGCGTGTCCCCTGGAATTTTACATCCCAGCTTTTGGAAAGGCCGATTCAAAGTTTTGTGTTTTTGGGTGGATATCCCGGTCAGTTCAAATGCCACCTTCTGGAAAGGCCAATTCGGAATTGTCTAGGGGACCTCCACGATTGGTGTTTTGCTTGTGGCTTCGCTTTAGCGCAACTCCAAAAACGGGCGTCCTCAAAAGCAAGGGGCCTATGTTTCGTTTTGGTGGGGTGCAATTGGCAAAATTGGTAACGGGCAGCCCCTGGGGGGCTTTGCCCGCCCCAAGTCTGAGCAAACGTGTGGGGAGCCCTAAGAGGAAGGACCTGTTTTGGCCTATGCTCGTATTTGCTAATCGAAAGTCCATTTTTAGGTTGGACCCTCATTTGTGGAACCACCCATGGTTTGAACAAAGAATGCTTTAGACAGGGTTCCATGTGAATGTGCAAGGGAGTAAACAAGGCTGGTCTTTGGCGTGACCGAATCGCCCTTTGACCTTTTGGAAACATCCTCTTTTTTTTCCATTAGCCCTAGGAAAGCTCTAAGGACCCTTCTGCCCAGGAGGGAAAAGCACGGCAAGGCATGACCATGGCCCAGATAGGTTCGGCCCACAGCGGTGGCATCTGACTCGAGTCCAGGTCCCCAAGCAGGACCGCGTCGTGGTCATTTTATCCGTGCACCTGGACGACGAGGTGGACGTCGCGCTGGGGAGGGCCTTCTGCCGCTGGGATCTTCAGGTGAGTCAAAACTCGTGGAACTTCAAAAGCAGGTGGTGTCCTCTTGGTTTCTGTTTAACGCAGAGGCAAAGACAAGGGTACCCTGAAACAATACATCCTCAAGTTGTTTGGAGCCAATGAGCAGGAAAATGAGAGAAGGCTGGTAGTATTCCATAAGGGAATTGACAGGGTTGGGCTTTTGCAACCCGAACAAAGAAACGAGGGAAGCAGGGAGATGGGAGGATTTCCCTGAATCACCTAGACGTAGCACAGGTGGTGCACAATGAGCCACTATCAAGAACCCTTGTAATTAGGTTGATGAAAAGGGACAGTCCTAGCCGGACATTGGTTCAGCAAGAAGCGCTTTGAGAAGCCCCTTCCAGTCTTTGCTTTTGAGCAGATCCTAGCGGCAAGTTCCGATTATATAGGACTCAAATAAGATTGTTCAAAACAAATGCTTACTTTTTGGGACCCTTTGGCAACCACTTGTGCCGCCCCAGTTTTTGAGTCTCATCATTTGAAGCCGCGAAGTCGTGTCAAAGAAAGTCAATAGCGAGACGAATCTTGCTGAGGGGCAAGAAGGGTTGTTGTAGTCTCAAAAGGCAAAGAACAGTGCCTTTGCACGATAGGAAAGGTAAAGGGGGCAAGTCTTATCCCTATACCATGCTCTGGCAAACACTGTATCTTGCTATTTGCTCTCTACTCGACAGGATATCAAAACGTTTCTCAACCTATACCGTACGCAGGGACCCAGGCCTTTTCCATCCCTTGGGCTTGGGGGTATCGTTCATGGAAGGGTTTGCGGACCTCACATGGAGCCAACCATTGGAAGTGCTACACATATTTGCTCATGGCAAGCGTACCACAGTGGGGTAACTCGTTTGGTCAGCCATTAGGGCTACCCCCACGGGGTTGACAGTCCTGGAGTCTTGCGCGCGGTCCAACTGGCCATCATGGTTGTGCTTGACATGGGTGCGCGCGTGCCCATATTTTGTAAGTGGCCACGCGATTCCAACTCAAAGAGCTGATCTATCAATGGCTCCCCTCGGACCCAAGACTGGTTGGGGTCTTATTTGGGAGAACCGAGGGGTTGCAGGCTGGGATTCTGTGACACGGGGGCACTTGGCATTGATCGAGTCAATGGTGCACTTGGCCGTACCCTTGAATTCAATTTCCTACACTGGCACCTTTGGCCGTGTTGTGCCTGTGAAATTTGTGTGGTTTTCCGGTGGCAGTGGAATGGCTTCCAATGGAACTTTCGGTCGATATTCAAGGGAAAAACTCTGTAAATTGCTCGTTGGTTCAACCTTCAATCTTTCAATTTTTGTGAAACTGACTGTCACGCCACTCACCTGCAATAAGAGTGGCCCACGCCGATATCGATGATGGTCGTTCTTCCATACCGACAACCCGTACCGAGGTCAGGAGTTTGCTGAGACGAACCGCCCCTTGGGCCCGCAAAAAGCTTGTTGGTTTGTGGGCCAGATCCCGACTGGATTTCACGCAAGCACGCAAGAAAGCAAACACGCAAGTACGCACGCAAGCAGACAGAAGACAAGCAGACAAGCAGACAGACAGACAGACAGACAGACGGACAGACGGACAGATGGACGGACGGACAGACAGAGAGACAGACAGACACAGACACAGACACAGACAGACACAGACAGACGGAGACAGACGGAGACAGTGACAGACAGAGACGGACAGGTACAGACAGAGACAGACAGAGACAGACAGAGACAGACAGAGAAAGACAGACAACTGTCAGAATCCAATTGGACCATTCGGTCTCCCTAGCAAGGGTGTATTGAATCAGGGTCCCAACGCAAACCGAATAAACGGAGCGGTCTTTACCGTCCCACGTGTGTTCGGGGTATCCCTGGTACGGATTCCGGGATTTTCGAGCTCACCCACATGAAGGTTCTTAGGGGAATCCCTTATTGCCGATGTGTGAACCATTCGAGTTGTGCTCAGATCTGGGAAGTTGAATTTGGAACGACCGCTTGAAATTAATTCTTGGTTGTTGCTTGCAGTCAAACCTTTGCGTCCCCCGACCATGTGCATAGTCGCTATGCATGGTTGGAAGTTTAAGTCCATTGACGAGGGCCTGTGGCATTGTCCAAAGTTTACCCTTCCCTCGAAAAGGCAAACCCTGAAACATGCCACATGGGATTTGTCAACAGAGTCTTCATTGTCTTGCCATGTATAGTTCCTATGCACATGTGCAGCTTGTGAGTTGCACAGTTGCAAGGGCGAGAGAACCGGCTCACGCGTCCCTCGCACAGTACAACTGCTTACCTTTCATGGATACCAGCCAAGCCACGGTATCAGGCATAATTACTGAGATGGGATCACTAGGTTATGATTTCATCAATGCCTCAATGGCTCCGGCCGCTCCCAGTTGCAAGACGCTGCCGAAGTGAGAGCTGCCCAGCCAGCTCCGTTCTTTTTACAATTTGGGACTATAGCCTGACAAAATTCAACATTAGGGGTCCCATTTTAGGAAGGGATCTCCTACTCTTGGGGAGACACCCATAAGCTTTATGAATCTCAGGTCAGCATTGTCTAGCTTCGGTTTTGGATCAGAGCTGATTAATTGCCCTGACTTAGGGTTGGTGAGAATGTCCAGTGTGAGCCCGCACAAGGTGATCGACTTTTTGCTCAGGGGAAAGAGCGAAAGAGAACCATGTCCACAGCCGGAGGTTTGACGACATGTGTAGCCCGCGACCCGAACGAGCGAACTGAGGTAAAGGCAACGAGTTCTCGCTGCCGCGCCGGCCCTGATCCGACGTGGTGGATCTTTCTCCAAATATGGGCGTGTGTTTTATTGAGGCGTGTTTCATCTTCGAAAAGAAAACCAAAAGGAGAGCCACCTTGTCGGAGGTCCCCGTTTGACACATACATACTCATAGGCCCTCAGGTGATTGGCTTCAGGTTGGTTTCCTTTCAAAACCAGTGGTGCGACCCATTCTCAGGCAAGTTGCTTACCAGAATCCGGCAATCCGGGCCGGAAGTCCCCTGCAAAGCTCATGAAACGGAGCTTCCCAGAGAGGAACATCGCTGTTCACTGGAAATTCCCTTGGTGAAAACGGTGCAGCAAGTCAAAAACAAACATCGCGAGTGAAGAGATCCGGAACCTCCAAGGCGTATCTTTTACAAAAAAAAAAATGCCGAAGGTCAAAGGTGTGAAGTTTGTTGCCGGAACCGTTTGGTCGGCATCAAATTTTGGCGGGGGATTCATGTTCACCAACCACTCTTGAGGTGGCCCATCAAAGACCATAGACAAAAAAGAGAACCTTTGCAAAGGGCTCAAGTGGAATTGCAGATGCGTCCCAGCGATTCCCGGGCAAAGTGACTTCAAGGGCTCAACAGAGGTGTCTTCAATGCCTCAGTGATATGTCGGAGCGCCTCAAAAGGAGGGTTCTAAGGGTCACTGTTGTATACTTAATGCTGAGATCCTCCACTTGAAATCCGGACAAAATCAAGACGACCGTGTTTTTACGGACCCTTGGAAGACCAAACCCCGATTTCTTCAGGGTGCTACGGGGAAACGAGCTTTTTCACGATCGCAAAGGGACCACGGCATGAACTTTGTGTCCTTTAGGCCAGTCACGTGAGTCGCGCTCGGCCCTCTCAAGCCACCGCGAAACACGCCCGGTGCGAAGTTGTCCGCGGTGTTTTTCACGCCGACCCGTGCAGGGGCGCCCAGATTTGGAGTTGGGTTTTCCCAAAATGCTCTAAGCTTGGGTCACTTGGGTGGCTTGGTATGCCTGAGGCTAATATGTTGAAATGGGCCGGAATTTAGCGCACTGAAGGCTCCAGGTACCCTGAAGGATGCGGTACGGGGCCTCCGGTTTGTTGTTTCCTCACAAATTGGTGTCAGGCAGGGATGACTCCGATGCCTATGCAAGACACCGCTTTTGGCGTGTAGCCAGTTTTGGCCTCTGTGTTTCTCTCGATATTTCCTTGTTTTTGGAATGGGGCGAGATCAGCTAGAGGCAACCGGATCTAAGGCCTGTCCTGTTTTTGCAGTTGAACTCAACCGGTGGACTGGGGATTTCGGGCTGAAGAAAGGGACCTGGAGAAAACCAGCTGAAGGCCCTCTATTTTCTGGAATAGCGTTGCCAACCTATTGATTGCTGATAACATGGCGAAGCGTTCCGATTGGTGTTCAATGGGAATCCACAAAGGAAGCCTGCCATTGGCATTGGTAGACTTGCACTATTGTTGGAAATACTCAAGTAACCTTCCGAAATGTAGCTCTTTCCCCTTCAACCATCATCTGTTCGTCCCCTTCAATGTCAGTTTTCTTTGGGTGGGACGATGTTTAGTTAGGGGGAATACGGAACTCAGTCTTTTTGCAACATTGTCAAGGGACAATGTTTGCTTCAAAGCCCTAATTTGGTTGGGCTGAGGAAGCGATGCCATTGCCCAGATTTGGGGAAGCTCATATACAATGACCCCAGAATGAGAAACCCTGCACAGTAGTGGGGGGTTGCTGCCATAAAGAAATAAACAGTGAACCAGGGGGCTATCAAAATCCTGGGCTCCCAAGTTGGGCACAAACATTGAGCGCAACAAGTTGGCACACAGCCCACGTTATGCTGCCCATGTCCTTTTGGCAACGGTTTTAGACCGAGCGATCGCAGTGCCAGAGAGGACAGTTCGGGTGAAAGCACTGTCGTTCCGATCTGTGTATGGTATATATGGGTGTGGCTTAAAATTAAACAGGAATGTTTCCACTTACCAGGGTTCCATTTTTGATACCGGTTTTTTGAGCCACAGCCACATAGGCGTGCTTGCTTTTCTACCCAAGGCTCTCGAATACTCCTTCAAATTGGAGCTATTGGAGGGCTCTCAGGTGTCTTTAGGGGCAGGACCCTCCCGTTCGAAGGGTGAATTTGTGCGCTTGGGCCAAAAAAGTCGGGAAAACGGAAGCGGCCCGTTTCAACTTCCAAGTCGCCTGTACCATCGCTTGCGACATTTTTGGTAAAGGCTTCAGTTTCTTTGTTTGGGGGAGAGCTATGTTTGGGGGATGGCCCATTTCTGGGAAACCTCACAATTGGCTTTGTTGTTTTTGCATACATATACATTCTTACAATATATATATATATATACATATATATATAATCTTGTAGATTTGGGGGGGTCGTGTTGAGCTCTCCTGAGGCAATGAAGGGAGCGTTGCTTCTTGCGCTGCTCCTGGGTGCCAGTGCGGAGCATGGCCCCAAACAGTACCCGGTGACGAAGGCGCGGGCGCTGCCGCTTTGGGTTCCACGGGTCCGGCCTCCGCTTTGACCTAAACTGCTGCGACAGGCAGGCAATGAGAATTGGCCATTTGTGGGTTCCTTTGCGGGAATCCGCAGGTTCATTCCCTCATTCGCACAGCAAGCTTTGAAGCAGGGGCTGAAATAGGTTGAAATGAGGTGGCCCAGCCCAGCCTCAAGTCCAAACACCCTGATCATGACCTTTGTAGGGAATTTAGGGAACCATGGTCAGGGTTCCTCGTAGGGGAACCATGGCCATGGGGAGGTTGCCCTTCGCATAGGTTCGGTGAAATGATCGGAAGCATGCGGCGATCATTTAGCAGCGAGCGGGGACTTACTCGATTTCCCACAGCCGCACAAGCCCTGTCGCCCCATTCGTTTTCAGCAACCAAAGCTCGGTACCAAAATTTGTGGAGGTTCTTGAAGACCAGACATTTGTTGAGGATGTCATCGGGGTGGCGTCAAAGGGAAGCGGGAGAACCATATATTTTGTTGACGCAGGTGGTGAACCTCCTGGGCGACATGAAGAAACAGCTGGAAGCGGAAGCGGAGAAAGACGAGGAGGTGGATGAGAAGATGAAGTGCTGGTGCAAGGCGCCTCCCTCGATGGCGTGAGGGTTCGTCAGGCATGGGCTCTCCTTGGAAACTTGGTCTTTGGGGCTCTGAAACAGATTTTTGAAAGAACCAAGCCTACGACTGAACTGTGGATGGACCAAGTCCATTTCGCACCGCCTGAGAAAACCTGGAATGATATATATATATATATATACATGATTCCCCCTGTAAATGCCAAGCTTCAATTTGGTGCGACCGCATTTGGTCCTTGGGGTCCTTGGAGCAGCCCCAAGGTTCGTTTGGGCAGTTCGCAGAATCTTCCCCTTTGCGAGCTTTAAACATCGGCTTGCCGAAAGCTTCTGCTGGGACAGGGTGTCCGGGGGGCTGTGGCTATGCTACTTGGGCAGAGCGCAGGCCTCACAACTGGTGGGAATCTGTTTATCGCAAGCAAGACTTGCTCCGAACCACCGCGTGTGCTTTGAGGCAGTACAACTGTCAGGTTGGTAGCAAACAAATCCAAAGTTTTGGAGTTGGTGAATGATTCTTGTTTGCCCATCATATTTTTGAACTCGTGTGCGCTTGCTCCTTTTTGTTTCGAGCCACTAAAGCACGAAACCATCCTCAGCTGAGGGGCACCGAACACTTCAACCGCATGCTTTGTTGGTTGAGTTCCCCAGCTAGCGTGGCGGTCGAAAAGAGACGCAGGGGCGTGCATTTTTTAGAGATCAGTCAAAAAAAAGCAAGATCAAGCTGCTTGGGGAAAATACATTTTTGGGGTTCCCCTGTTTTGACGCACACACGCACCCGCATGAACTTCTGGGGGTGCCGCTGAAATGTGGTCAGGAGACGATGCAGTCCAAAGAAGAGCCGCTCGGCTTCAGCTTCAGGGCAGGGAGGGTTGATAGGTGTTTCAGGTTTGGTTGGTTGAAGATATTTGTCTTATAAGAAGGACTGCTTAGGGCTTTGAAAGGGAAATCAAACCAACAAACGGTCCCTAAAATAATTGGTTTCCGGTTGGCTTTCCCTATGCCAACTTAAAGGCTGTGAGCATGGGGAAACCCACCACTGTAGGGAGCATGGGGGAAGCCGTGGGTAAGCCGTTTGAGACGCTCCAAGCTCGGAGGAGCATCGCCAGCACGGAGTCCCAGATCTCCAGCCTCGGCGGTTCCATCGAGACCGCGGCCGCGGATTCCATGCGCGGCTCGGCGAGTTGGATTCAAAGCGAAGCTGTCCGAAGGGCGAATTCGGTGGCGCATTGGCCTTGGATGAGATTGTGTTTGCGGCTCAAAGGGTGCTTGGTGGGTGGGCGGTTGGTTGCTTGATTTCTTGCTTGCTTGCTTGCTTGCTTGCTTGCTTGCTTGCTTGCTTGCTTGCTTGCTTGCTTGCTTGCTTGGTGGGTTGGTTGGTTGGTTGGTTGGTTGGTTGGTTGGTTGGTTGGTCTGCGTGTTGCTTTGTTGCTTTGTTGCTTTGTTGCTTTGTTGGTTTGTTCGCTGCGTGAGTGATCTCTAACAAATGTAGCGACCTCACAAAGGGTGGTCCTCCTTGAATTTGTCCCCACATCATCGACAAAACCTGCAGCAGGGTCCCAGTTTGGGATTTCCTGAAGATAGACTTAAACCCAGGGGCGGCTCATGCGCTGCAGAACGACGGCTAGACAGTGCGCCGTGTTGCCCGACAAACAGGACAAGGCAACTTCAATGTGTGTCATGGCAGTGTTCAATCTCCGTCAGATCGATGCAAGCAAAGGACTTCCCTTCGATGCCTGGCAGATTTCAAGCAGGGAGCGCAACATCATCTACAGATATCTATGGTCTATGGTTATATGATTATCAAACAAATTGGACATTAATGTTGGAGATCATATTATGAGGTGTAGCGGCTACTTCATGTACCTCTGAGGGGTATGCCTTTGGGTTGAAACCGGTTTACGTTCACTTCGTTGGCCCTAGACGAACTGCACGACCAGTAGATTTTGGAGGTAGGGGTACACATTCAAGGGTGCCCGACAGCAGCCCTTGCTATAATATACCAAAGGGGGGATCCACTTACTTGGGATTGTCTATAAATTGGGGAACCCCTATGATAGGTGCATGCGGGTGCTTTTTCCCTCTAAGGGATTCCCTGAAGAACAACGCCAAATAGGCTACCGAGCCTCAAAACAGGACCAAAGGGGTCGATTTGGGAAGTATTTCCCAAAATGAGGGACCCCAAAATGATTGGCTTCAAAAGGTTGGCTGCCTTTTGGTTGAGTCTACCAAAGGTAATTCTGGATGCTCGCAAAAGACCCATAGTCTTGCGGGGCTCCCCATCAACTGTTTTCTACCGGTTGGCTCAGTGGCTGCATCGCGAGATTGGTTAAAACCCAGGTTCTCCAATTCTCCTGGACCTAGAGCCGGCACCGGCATTCCTACTGGAATTCCCCCCCCCCCCCGACCGGGTCCTTTGTGAGCTTAGGCCTCGCCTTGGAAGTCGAAGGGCACGAGAGCGACCTGGCCGGGTCCCCACTCGGCTGCGGGAGTCGGCAAATTCGGCCCATTCGGGCGCATCCGTGGCAACGCACATTGCGTGGGGTGGGTGACCCAACTACTTTCACGGTCTACTGGTGTATTTTGCTTGGATCTTTACCCTTCATGGAAGCTCAGCTTCCATGTTGGTCAGGCTCAGCTTTCACGTTTGCAACAGGCTTTGCCGCGCTTTAATGTTGACCAATGTTCTTGGAAAGCTGCCTTTTGCGACTGAAACGCTCGCCAGGCTCGTTACCAAAACTAAGAAACAATCGCACAGCCCAACAAGAAACCTCAGTTTTGAGAGGACCCCGAACACAGGTCCTTTTTGGTTTCCTCGTGGTTTCAAATGCAGGATCGCCCAAAGGCAACTGCTTTTTCAGGGTCCGGAGAAAAAATCATCAAGGACAGGGGCCTCCAAAAAGTTTTCTTCCCTACTGATCCTCTGCATTTCTATATTTTTTTTAAGTTTGACCCCTTCTCAAAGGCTTGTGACGCGAACCTCCACAGTCAAATGATTCAAGCAGCAGGTTACACTCCCAACACTAGGTCCCCCAGTAGTGCCCTTTTATCCTTGTTTTGGGGAGGGTTGCCCTACTAAAATAGACTACAGAAAAAAGTTGGTACCCTTATTCTAACCTCTCTACTGGAGGACCTAGCAACAAAAGAACCGTTGAAATTTTGAAGCCCGAGACCTTCCTTTCCCGCCTCCTTCCGCACCTCCGCGAGTGGCGGTCGCCAGGCCAAGAGCCAAGAGTCGCTGTCCATGGCAGAGGCGCAGCGGGAGAAGCAGCAGAAGACCTTCCAAGAGGAGGAGAAGGAGATGAAGGACACGCGGATGCCGTGTCCTTTTTTGCGTGCGTCAGAAGAGGTTTGAGGTTGCGTTCTCCCCGTTTAAGTGAGAAAAAAGAAGGCATGCGGGAAGGGCCCAAGACTGAGTCACAATTTTGCAAGCACATGCTGGGAAAGTAAGAGCGAGAGGAGGAGAACATCCAGGGATCATAGTCTAAAAGTGTAGAGATTCCCTTTCCATGTCGGATAAGAGAGGTGAAGCAATTCGTCAATGCTCCAATGCCAACAAAGGAGCCAGCGCAGCTAGTTTTAAGGGCTATGCACTTGGGGGGCTCAAGCAATCGAGTTGGGAGAAGCATACCCTTTGACACAGCAGTACCATGTCCCTGGCGCAGATAGAGTAACAGGAACAAAGCAACAGAACATGGGCAAGTCTTGTTTTACGGCATCCCAGTTAGTCCCAAGGAAACCACTGCAATATGTTTATCCTCGAAACATGTTACTGATATTTTGATAAAGGGGGAAAGCCCCTTGGTTTCCAAACTGTTGACCCCGGAATCTTCCTGGCGGAGGTTGCCTTTCTTCCCAAAGAGTGATATCCACATCGCTTTTGTTGTGCACCTGGCCAAAAAATCCGCCCGTTGCGAAACATCCTGGCACACTGCAGGAGTCTCTGACCGGAGTGGACGCAGCCTTGGATACCCTGCAGAAGAAGTCCTCCTTTTTGTCCACGTCGGTCTGGGCTCCCCAGACCGCTTTTTGTCGAAATGCCAAATCTGACCTGCCGGCACTCTTGAAACTGTTTGTGTTCGGATTGCTTCTTGGTTTGAGTCAAGGCCCAAGAGTCCGAGCTTTGTCTGGCCAGTCAACTCAGGTGAGAAGTCGGGTGCAATGGGATCCCTTCAAGGCGGCACTCCTTGCGGAACTGGGGTTGAAGAAAGGGTCATGTTTTTGACAGCCACCCCCCTAAATAGCCCACAGACCATAGAGTTCATTTTGCCCAGAGCGAGCCAAACAGGGCTAAGCAGGGTCCTTTTGTTGCCAGCCAATGACACGGAAGCCAACAAGGACGTCAACCCCGCAAGGAGCCTCGATTTGGGGTTGGTCAATGGCTATATTTTGCGGGGTCCGGCCGAAATGTGGGGCTCAGAAGCAAACGAGATCGAGGCGGTGTCCGATTGGCCAAGGAAATGCGCTCCTAATATTTTGCAAATGTCAGTTCCCAAATTTGCTCTCTTTCAAAGGTGGCATAGGGGAAGCTGCCAGGAAGCCAACCAGTTTCGGGGGCATCCCTATGTGCAACCACACTTGTGTAAATGATTTCCTTGATTCCCTCGCAATTTCCCCTGAATCATGGCGGCTCCAAGCCATAGCCTCAGACGTTTCTGTTTAGAGTCTAGAGGGATTGCTTGTGACAGCCAGGGATCATGTACCTGGCTAGGTAACCAAAAAGAAATACCCCATTTTCGAGCCGCCTTTCTTTTGTGTCCTTCAAAAATCCAAGGAAGCCGCCATGTCGCCAAGCCGTGAATCCCCCAAACCGACAAAGCCGCTCGCCCGAGGCCAGCGCGGCGAAGCGGGCAGAGGCCTTGGACTTGGTGAAGAAGCTGCAGACGAAGCACTTTAACCTGCTGCGCCTCAGACGTATGTCGTGCCAGTTGGTGGGTTGGGTGGGTGGGTGGGTGGGTGGGTGGGTGGGGTGGGGTGGGGTTGGGTTGGGTTGGGTTGGGTTGGGTTGGGTTGGGTTGGGTTGAGTTGGGTTGGGTTGGGTTGGGTGGATGGGTGAATGCACATGATACTGGTATGCTGTCATTTGAATTGTTCAGAGTCTTGAGTGGACCGTCTCTTTCCACAAGTTCCGCGGGATTCACAGGATTATGTCTCTTTGTTTGTTTGCCGGCGGCTTCCCAATGAACGGGAAATCCGCCCCAAAAAGGGCTCGCTTTTACCTCCGGGGTCACTGGGGAACTGGGTATCGTCAAGTTAGTGTGGGGAATTTGATTTGTTGCTTTTGTTTTGCACTCTTTGCAGAACATGGTCTTGGCATGTATTTTGCCAGTCTGTTTTCGGCGAGTTTGAACTGTTTATTTTGTTTGGGACTCTGCGGTGACGGGTTCTGCCCACCAGCCATCTCCTCTTCTTGCCTGGTAAGTCTTACCCTCCCTCCCACGAAGCCGAGGGAAGGTACCTGGTCACTTGTGTTTCATTCCCTTGCCTTGAAACTTCTGTCCTAAGTCTTCGTGCTCGCTCTTCCCGTCCTCTTCGCAAAAGAATTCAACTCCAAACGATTCCCTTCCCGGCTACTCAATTCACACGTTTCCAATTTTAAGCCTTCGGAAAAGCACTTTCCATAATTGTTCTTGTGACAGCACTGGTGATGCTTCGGGGTTTCGACCAATTCAGTCTACGGACTACTGCGACAACTACTTTTAGTAAGCGGAAACAAATGTACTTTGTTCAAAGCACTTGTGTTGCTGGGGGGTGTTGACCACTGTAGCAATATGTCTACCAACCACAGCGACATCTGGTTCAAGTAAGCGGAACATTGTTTGCTTTAAACAAACAAAGGTTGTGCTGGGGTGTCGACCACTCTAGGCAGAACAAAGACAGTCAACAAGTAGTCCAAGACATATGGGGCTTGAAGAGTAGTATGTCGCAAGTCGTTTTGTAAAGAACGTTGATTCCGCCGAATGACTTTCGAATCACGAATTTATTTTCAGTCCCATGCAGGACTGGACAGTGGCTAAGGTTCTCAATGTATATCTATATTATTATTATTATTATTACTACTATTATTATTATTAGTATTATTATTATTATTATTATTGTTATTATTATTATTATTATTATTATTATTATTATTATTATTATTAACTATTAATTATTAATTATCAATTATCAATTATTAATTATTATTATACATATATAGAGTATAGATTCTGCATACCCTGGTATACCGCTCATATGGTGTATTCTTGGTGTGGGTGGGTATGCCCAAACACTTGTTCACGCTTTGTTGGTTTTGTTCATTCTGGCTGGGCTCCATCTTGCTGAGATTCAGACGAAACGCTCCACACTGTGATGGATTAAGTTCGCGGGGATTTGTTTGGATGTGACTGAATATGATGATCGGATTCAGCCTGAGAACGTTCTGGGAGTTGTGAATTGACTCCTCAAATGATGTTTTTTGATGAGGCTGGCCAATTCGCATGTTTGCTTTGGAAGTTTCTTTCTGTGTTCTTGCACAAGCAATTTTGCTTGGAGCTTTGCACAGGCCAACAGGGTTCACTTTGAAAAGGGCTGACATTGGAATTGGGGCCGCCTTTTGAATGGATGAAGGGAAACTATAAGATTGAATCACCCACCTGGCTGTGTGTATTTGTTTGTGCTTCCAGCCAGGACGGAAAGCAGGAAGGTGTCATCAGCTCTTAGTCAAGCAGTCGAGGAGCCATCAGACATCATCAGACAAAACCAAAGAGATGCCATCGTGAAGTGAGGTTGAGTAGACCGAGGCTATGTTTCAGCATGGCAGCCTGCCCTTTGTCATGGTGTGTTTTGCACGCAAGCCAAGCAAAAACACCCACCATCCAAAATTCGGGGTCCCCTTCTCGCGAGAAGGCGCGCCCCGCATCAGCGGAAGCTGATGCTGTCCATGGCCTCTGCGCACCTCGATGTGGATGCCAATCCCGCCACAGGCAAAGGAACTCGCGAGAAGTCGCAAGAAGCCAAACGCCGTGAAACGTGGGAGGAATCGCTAGGGAAAAGCACCAAGTGGTTGACCCTGAGAAAAAGGAGGCCCTTCTTGGGTCGGCATTTGGACATAGCCCCCAGAACTGAGACGTTTTGGATTGTCTTCTTGGCGCCTTCTGGGCAATATGATGTCATTTCAAAGCAAATGTTGGAAAGACAACTGCATTTTGGGCAACGATGGCGCATGTTTGGGAAAACTTGAGGGGTTCGGGCTGCAGGATACCTTTAGTCGGGGGCTTGGGGGTTGGGGAGGCCCCAAATTTTCAAAAGATGATTGGATAGGGTCTTGTGGGCAAACTTGTTGGCCCTTTCCTTTGGCATTGGTGGCAATCTGGGAGGCAAAAGTGGAAGCCGTAAGTATTTTCCGCGATTACGTGGGACTCGGGAAACGAAGAATGGGCCTTTCAAGAGTTTTTTTCGGCCTTGCATGCTGCAACGGACTGTCTTTGGACTGCTTTAAAGGCCTCCGGCTTGGACGTGGAGTCAGTTGCAACCGGCTTCGGGGTTCTCTGAATGATTGACAGCCTTTTTCCAGGAGTTCCGAAATATTATTCACAAGGAATGCCTGAGGTTTACACTACCATTAAACAATGGGGCTGGATATAACCACCATTGTTGCCGAAAGAGTGTCATGACCTACATTGGGTTAGCCAATATGGAATTGAACCCTAGGGTACAACAAGCCTACCGGAAACTTACACGGATGCAGGCTCCTTTGAACATTATGATTTCCAGCACCTCATGAATCCCTCATTTGAGTAGATCATTCGCAGTACTGAGGTTGTCATACCATTTGTTTACCCTCTACGGCCAGTCCGTCTTCTACCAATCTTCCGTTGAGACTCGTGTCCAATGCGATGTCGGGCCAACCACCCTGCTAAGGCTTTCGTACAGGACATCAAAGTCAATTCACCCAAAGCCAGTGGCTCCCCATGTGCCCCTGTAGATTCTCCTGGTTCATTTGCCCAATTCAACCGCCCGGGCGGATCCAATCCATTGGGGCGGCTTCGCGGCCGGGCGTTGCCAGGGGAGGTGGTGGGCATCATGTCGCAGATGAAGGTGCGGCAGTCGAGCGCGGCGGTTTCGGGGCCCAAGGATTCCAAGGTTGGGGCGATGTTCCTCCAGGTCCCTTCTTGAAACTTCCGGAAGTGGCAGCTTCAACGGAAATCGCGAGTCAAAGTAAACACAAGCACTTTTGAAGTCAAATCCGGTGACCCCTGTCTGGGCAACTCCCTTGGAAGAACAAGATGCGGGCAAGTAGATGATGAAGGCAAAATGAAGGTTTATGTTTACCCAACTGCAAACGCAGCAACTTCACAAACTGATCGTGTGGCTTTGAGACATGTTCCAGTTTTGTTTCCTAGTTTCTCGAAATCACTTGGACCCTTTTGCCCTTGCACCTTCGAGCAGTGCCCTTGACTTACACCTTCGAGGGGTGTGTGTTTTCACACCGGTGGGACTTTCTCACGTTTCCCTGTCCGCCCTAGAGGGCCCAATCGGTGTTTTTTAACATCAGTCTGACGTTTTGGAAACCGGCGGTTTCCTGTTGGTCGCCCTTAGAGGGGATGTTTCTCAGCAGTAGTTCCCTGGTTTCCCTTCCTTCGCTAATTTGCCTGCACAGTGCTTTTCATGGCGACCTGGCTTTGTTCAGCTGGCCCTAGAGGACACCAGGAGATGCTGGAAAGAGCGGCGGTCGTAGACTCGATGACCAGACTCTGACCATGCTTCCGTTTTGGGCCTAGACTTCGAACGCGCCCTCCTTGCGCCGGCGGTTTTTGAGGACACCTTCGAGACCAACCTCAACCAGACCCTCAAGGAGGAGGCCGAGAGCGCCCTCACCTTCAACGGCCTTCAGGAGGCCAAGACCGCGGAGATCAAGGCCACGCAGGAGGCGCCCCGGGCCCCAACGCGCAAGCGAAGACCGGGCCAGCCGAACCCCTGGAAAAGCCCCTCTTCAAGTGGCGGTTTTGTCTCGGTGCGTGTGTTTGTTCCTGGTGTCTGTGTGTGTGTGTGGTTGTATATGTTTGTATATATGGTTGTTCTAACTGTGTTATTCTTGCCGTAGTTTTGTACTGGTTTCGCGAGTATGTTGTTGTGGTTAGCTCTTGTTGTTTGCGTCTGTTTAATTCCTGTTTTTTGTTTGTTTTGTTTCTTGGGACTTGGCGTTGTCGCATGTCGTTCTAGTTTTGGTGTAGGCGTAGAACCCCCTCGTTTGGGAGGCGTTTGTGTTCTTTGAACTTGGTGCACTGGTTGCTATGCTGTCCTTTTGTGCTTGGCAGCTTTGTGTTGACGTGCGTTTGTCCTCCGAAACCTCAGAACAAGGAGAGTCGGGGCTCTGTGTTTTGTTGTTGGTTTGTTGGTTGCACATTTGAGCAACTGACAAGATACTAGTAGCTAGTCTAGGGGCCGCCGCCAACTCCCCATTCGCAGTCATTTTGCCAGCGTGGGGTCGTGACTTTTGGCTTTCCCTTTTTTTGAGACGTTTAGAGGGATTGACAGTTTTCCAATGGTCGTATGGGGTCTCCATCCCCTGAAAGGGGCTTAACAAGAGCACGAGCTTACACTTTACCAAGGGGCTTTTTTTGCCCTTGGGATGGGCCTGACCCTTGGGTCCAGCCTTCCGAAGTCCCGGACCTCTCAGGGCACCCTTAGGCCGATATGTGGTCTTTCGATACATATCACTTTTGGGGGGCTCTTATTGGAAATGGTCAGGTCTAGAGTTTGCCAGGGGCTTGCAGAAAAGGTATGGCCAATGGGTGAGCGATATCATCGATCGACAGCTTCGGTTTTGATTCCCTGACCACAGGACATGTATGGCGTATGCCACGGGAACTGGCAAAGAAAATCAGGTAGCCTTGCAACACGTGTTTGGTCTGGGAAGCACCTTGTAAAGGGAAACCAAAAAGCTTGTCACGTTGTGTTGTTTTTCCGTTTTTCGGACGGGGTTTCCCTTCAACATCAAGTGCCAATCAAAGATCCCCTTTCTCCTGATAGGTACCCTTTTCAGGCTTGAAGGGAAACGGAAACAAGCACCACCATGTTGTTGGGTGCAAGTCCCGATTTTATCACATTGGTGTTTCGCTCCGTTTTGTTTGGCTGGTATTTAAAGGTTAGCCGAAAGGAAACCAACCACCATTTAGCGAGGCCCAGCCACATGGGGGTTGATCAAAAGGTCCTTTATACATGAGATGACCATTGGTTGGAAAACCACAACAGACGATATTTCCCACGTGGGAAACGTGACTCATGGTTATTTGGCCATGGGTCAAAATCCCATACCCCCAGTGAACATCCCAATCCCAACTAAAATAGGTTCTAACATGAGTGGGGAATTCACCTACCAGGCAAAATGGGATCTCATTGGTTTTGACAACCACAGCCATTTGGCAAAGAAGATGGATCCTTCCCCATTCTTTCCAGGCATCCTTCTTTCCAGAAAACCACCACAAATCTTGGGGAAACGCCTGGTTTTTGAAAAGAACGATGGCTGCAAAGAATGGAAAAGGAATCAACCCCCAGACTTTTGGGCCTTAGGCCCTACTGTAGATGCCAGTGGGAAGAAGCCCTAAAATGGGATCCCATTGGTTTTGACAACCACAGCCATTTGGCAAAGAAGATGGATAAACCCCAAAATTCTAGGGGTAACTTCCCCATTCTTTCCAGGGATCCTTATTTCTAGAAAACAACCAAAAACCCTGGGGAAACGCCTGGTTTTTGAAAAGAACGATGGCTTAAAAGAATGGGGAATCAACCCCTAGAATTTTTTTTTTTGAGGGTTTGACCAACACTAAACAGGAAGCGTTTGTTGATCAGCCCCAAACAAAACAATAATATTGAACCCCAAAATGGATCGACCCCACCTCCCGCCATGTCCTCGAGGCCATCCTCTCCAAGAAGGCCCAGCACGCCAAGGCGGACACCGAAGGCGCCCGCGCGAAGCAGGACTTGGAGAACGCCCAGGCGATCGCTCGCATTTTTTCCGGGCGAAGTCGACGTCGGTGCGTTTCGCGTTTCGGGCATAGGTGTCCTTTTTGGTTGGTTTGCTTTAAAAATAGAGGGCCCTGGTTCAGATGGAGCACCAAAAGGAAGCCTGTCTTTGGGGGGGTGGGGGGGGGTTGGTTTAACCTTTGATTTCCAAGTCATTTCGTTGAGGCCAGCGACGTCATGACATGAGTCCCCCACCGGTGAAGGGCTCGCATTCTCGTCGCATCTCGTCGCGAGAGGCGAGCATTTTGGTGGACAAGCAGTTCTTGGCGGATGCCAAGGACTGGCTGCGGCCACACAGAAAATTGGACTGCTTGACTGCTATTGGGTTGGATCAGACTTTAACTTTTGAGGAAATCAAGGGGTTGTCCACTAAAACTCCAAAAAGTTAAACTGTTTGTAGGGGGATCAACAGCAACCAAGGTGTGCGACCTCACACGACCTCACCCCAAATGGTGTTTTTTTGTGGGGAATAGCCCCCACACCACCTAATTTCAGGCTGGTGAAATATAGTAATGCATCCAGAAAATTGGACTGTGCGTGTGTTAAGCTTAAAAGCACGAAGAGTCAACAAACCCCTCTGCCACAGCTTTCTTCGTTGTGTTTGACAAGGGGACCCCTTCGCGTTTAGGCTGATCCCAGGGCGGTTTCCTGTTGGCTTCTTTTTTGAAAAGGACTTCCGGAGGTCTCAGAGCCCCAAGGGTTTGGGAGAAGAGGGTGGCTTCTTTGTACCGCAAAGGCTGATTCAGCCTTGAACTTATGGTGTGTGCCTTGGTTGTGCTCACCCATGAAGGGTCGAAGGGCCTTTACTTGCGAATCCCTTGCATAAGATTTGTGGACATATGGCAAGACAGTCTTATATGTTTGTGGATGCAGTCAAGCCAACAGAGAGCCAGCACCCCTGTATGGCTCTTTAAAAGGATTAGTTGCGTTCGGAGGAATGAGGACTCATTGACAAGAGCCCATTGACGTTGGCTATATGCTTGCTTGGGATTGGTATAGGGATGGTCCTAACTCGAGTAAGGCATTTAGATGACTATCGCAAGGATTCCTAAGAATAAAATCATTAGAATTAGAATGCTCAACGCAGGGCACACACACATGGGAGTCGTCCGAAGGTCTTTGTATTGAGGTATGAAGGGAAAGGCCTTTTGGTGTTAGTGTCGCCCTCCGCGAAAGCTCCGCGATGGAGGTTGCGAAGGTTATTTGTTTTTCCGCAACAGTTTTGTGTGAGGATGTGTTGGTCAAAGGAAGATGGATCGATACACCATGTGTGTTTGCCGGCAGTGCGCGCAGAGTGCGCACAGACTAAAGTTGGTCGGAGGAACGGAAGGCCTGGGATTGCCCAGAAATACATTGCTGCAACAGCAACCCCAACAGAAAGCAGCTTGTTGTAGCTTTGAAGCTTTTGTGCCTAGCCCAATCTCCCAGCTGCCACGTTCGGCGCAAGATCCGCGAAATCAGCGCGAACGGCGAGGGATCTCGCTGCCAGCTTCCGCACATGGGTGGCCAATGGGTCCCACGCCTTTCGAGCTGGGGCTGCAGAAGCGCACTTGCTAGACTACTTTGGTACAAATGGCCACTTTCGAGCTGGGGATGCGAAAGTGCGCTTGGACTACTTTATTGGAGGATGGCGACTTACGAGCCAGGGCTGCAGAAGTCTATTTCGTGCTATACCTGGTACTCCTGTTACTGAAAAGTTGCGACTTTCAAGCCAGAACTGTACTTTGCGTACATCTCCATTTTCCTTGAGGCAGCCGTCAGAAAGCCCAAGTCATTTGAGTGGGGTTGCGGGGTTGGCAATCATCATTTAGCCTCGGAGATGAAGAGCGTGATTCTCCCTCCGCCTTAGAAGGGTTCCCCTCCCGTTTGCTCTGCCTTGCAGAGCGCGCCAGAAACATAGTCGTTTTGCAGCTTTGCAGGTCCGGATTCTTTGACTGCCAGCGCCAGGCAGTTTAGGAGAATCAGGTGTCAGGCGAATCACGCATCAGGGGCCATAGTCACACGTCCAGGTTACGAAGCAACTCATACCCTTTTCCCACCAATATTTTTGTCAAGAGTAAAGGATCCCCTCAAACACGGCCTCATTTGTCCGCCAGGCTTCCTCAAATGTCAAATACTCAGCTGGCTTAGGCTGACTAGGTTGGTTGGCTGGCTGGTTGGTGGGTTGGGTCAAGTTCGGTCAGCCACCGACACGCCCGCAACCCGGGCCGCCTCTCGGCAGGAGAAATGCGCGGCCCACGAGGCGGAGTTCGCGGAGCGGGTGAAGACGAGGAATGAGGAGATCACCGGGTGCTCCAAGGCAGTCCGCGGAACTGGGAAAGAATAGGAGGAGCATGTGCTTGTTGTGTTTCTTTGCCTGGCTTGTCTGGTTTGTTCTGGTTTGTTGTGGTTTGTTGTGGTTTGTTGCGGTTTGTTGTGGTTTGTTGTGGTTTGTTGTGGTTTGTTGTTGTTTGTTGTGGTTTGTTGTGGTTTGTCGTGGTTTGCTTTTTTGCTTTGTGTTGGGTGGAGAGAGCGGGGGGTCTTTTCCTGTGGGAGTATGGTTCGGGCCGCGTTTCTTCTGATTTCTACCGCCGCGGTCCTTTCGCGGCAGGCCGTCGCCATCCTCAGCGACGACTCGGCGCGCGACACCTTCGGCTGCCTGCCAAGGATTTAGGGATGTTAGGACTTTAACTTTTTCCCAACTAATGGGTTTTCCGTATTAAAACACTAAAATGTAAACTTTTAGCGGGGGAGCAGAAAACAACCCAAATCAGCTCACGACACCTGGAGATAAGAGCTCATCCAAGATGATTGTCCCTTACTTGGGGGTTAGTTGTGTGTCCAGTAAATAGTCATTGCATTTATTCGAGAAGGATGATGAAGAGGGGAATGGGTCCGGCCCACTGCTGATCTCCCACAAAAAGGGGCCCAGTGGTTGGGCACCATTCAGCTCGCAGGTGAGGCACAGGATGATTGCGTGACAAGCTTATAGAGAGCGATTTGTTTCGCAGTGCCCCTAGTGTTGGATTCCTTTTCCAAGGCATAAGTATGGTGGGAGGTGTCCCTACTGTTGAGCATTGATTCATTCAAGCATGGCTTATGGAAAGCACTGCTGGCGGCTACGTCGCTGGCCACTCCGAGTAACTCTGTTGACGTGTGGAGAGTCGAACAGTTTGATTCCAATACTGAAGAGGATTGATGTCTTTTTGAGTTGTTGTGGGTGTCGGACCCCAATAGGGGTTCAAAATGTGGGCAATTGGCTTGAAGTTGATGCCACATTGCCTGAGCTCCATCTGCACACTTGACAAACTGGAAGCAAGGCATCTGGTTGCATGAGCCTTGTGTTACCCGCAGTGGGTAAGGGCGCACTGTTTGGGGTTGAAGCCAACTGGGTGCAGACAAGGGCCTGTTGCTCCAAGAACATGCGCCTATGGGGAAGTGGGGAATGGGGCCTTCCACCTGATTCTTGTTGGGAATTCAAGTGGATTCCTCCCCCCCTGCGTCCCCTCCCCAATTGTGTGTCCGCGTGTGTGTGTGATAAATGTCTTCTCAAAATCCGGTTTCTCTTTTAGTTTGCCTTTGACCACAGACACAGTCCACAAGGAGGGCCAAATCTTCTTCGTATTCTTGCGCCGCCTGCCCAAATCCATTGAAGGCCATACCACTCCCTCCAAATCCCTTGAAGACTACGGTCCAAGTTGGGATAAATGTGGCTGCGGGTCAAAACCAATGGTACCATTTTGCGGTAGGTGAATTCCCCACCCATTTCAGAACCTATTTTAGTGGGGATTGGCATGTTCACTGGGGGTGCGATTTGGGTTTTGACCCACAGCCATGTCATTTTGAGTCACTTCGAGTCGCGCGAGGCCGCACCTTCAACGCCGGCTTCCTCCAGCTTTCCTCCGAGTCGGTTCCGAGCGCCGCTTCGGTGCTGGCGCGGGCGGCGGCCAAGTCGCAGGACGCCAGGCTTGGCAACGGACAAGTCGTTGACGGGCCATCCTGGGGGCCCGTGAATGACTGGCTGGGCGGTTGGATTGAATCCGTTTTTTTTGTTTGTTTTCCCCGGGTGGGGGGGGGGGTACTATGACCAGCCCATAGTTGTATATGATTCCCACAGGAAACCAAGAGGGGATGTAGAATCGTGTACTTGTCCGGAGTAAAGGAAACCTGATTTGACAAAAGTGGAAGGGATCATCGAGAAGTAGTGCTCACTTTCGGGGCATGCAACCGTGTGTGGATTTTCGCCGAAATGGTGTTCGATGTGGATTCCGTCTTCGAAGGTTTCTACAAGCTTCCAACTTCTACACCTATTGGGGGGGGATCTCTTTTTTCTTCATTCGCACTGTTCTCATGGCCCTTGACTGAACTCAGCTTCGCCTTCACTGCCCCAAAGCCAAGCCAAGCTCTGTGTACAGTAGCACCTCACAAGTGGTTGGTGGACATGAATCTGATGTTCCAACGGGTCCCCTACTGAAATTCCAACAACCCCCTCGAGCCAAAGACGTTTGAATTGTACCACCATCTAGGCGAAGATTCCATCAACGCAGTTTGCCACGCATCGCCCAGGGCTCCATGGCGATAATTAAATCATCACCTATCTATTTTGGCCCGTTTACTTGTATTAGGAATTGGTGAGTTCCCTTGCTAGGGTTGAAATTTTGAGGAGAGATACCCTCCCACCAACAAACATGGAAGTGCAAAAAGGCCCTTTCCAAGAGGAAAGTAGTTTTTCTACAGGGGTCTGTGCACTTCCATGTCTGATTAAAAAAGAGGAAATAGGGAGCCCTGCTTCGCAGGCTGGCCTCGCTGGCGCAGCTGGTGCGCACCAGCGCATTCGACCAGGTGAAGAAGGCGCGGAGTCCGGCCGCGTTGAGCGAAGGCATCTGGGGTGGGGTGGGTGGGTGGGGTGGGGTGGGGTGGGGTGGGGTGGGGTGGGGTGGGGTGGGGTGGGGTGGGGTGGGGTGGGGTGGGGTGGGGTGGGGTGGGGTGGGGTGGGGTAAGCCAAGGGGTTTGCAAACAAAAGGCATAATATTTTTGGAAGCAAACAGGTCGCACAAGGCACAAGGCATCAAGTTAGGCAGGCTTCAGAACAAGGCATCGTGGATTGCCTTATGAACGGCGAAGGTTCTCTCAACAATCCTATAGGTATATCAAAGAGAATGTCTCAAAAGCAGTCGCCAAGTATCCAGATCCCAGGAGGTTCGGTGCACAGTTCCTGTAGTTTGTTTGGTCATTTTGAAGACTGACTCATTTTCCGCAAAATAAACTTGTGGGGTGCGGGTTTGTCAAGCATATGGCCGCATTCGGCCTGGTACCGCCTTGTGCCGCCTTTGGAGTATGATCAAGTATTTACGCCAGCAAACATGTGAATCTTTGACGTTTTTGCAGCGGAGGCAAAAGCCATCCAGCAAACAGGAAGCTTTGGAGGAGTCCAACCATCAGTCATCATAACGGGTTTGCGGCTTCTGAGCTTGGAGGAGTGCATTTATTGCCCCGTGTTTGCCTGCACAAAGATAAAGCTAGGCTCTTGGGCCCTTCCCCCCCACTGACACTTGATGACTCTATGGTCTTCCATATGTTGAGGCACTCAAGGTTGCTCAATGAACCCTTGACGACAGACACAAGCTCTTTGGCTTTCCTCATTCTCACGGATGGCGAGCGTTTTGTGTCGCATATCCTTTGGGTTGCCTTTGTGGTCCACCGGAAAGCCAGCGATGCACACAGAAGTACTGTTGATGGACAGAATTTGCTGAGATGGATGAAACCCTATGAATGACGTGGGCTCTTTCAAGCGTCAGTCAAGCCATCTACCATTAGCATGTTTTTTTGAGCGCCAGGGGGAGTACGCGATGACACCTGACAGTCGCAATCGAGGGATTTTCCTGACCTTGCCGTTTCAGCGATGCCGAGAGCTGAGCTGTTCTACTGGAAATTAGCCCAACACGTTGGTTTTGGTGGGTGGCTGTTTGCTGCTGGTCTCGGTATTGTTGACACGGCCTATTTCTGCCTATTTGCTTTTTCCTCGCAATGCATTCCTGGTTTGGATTCATTAGGCTTGTGCTTTTACAGCTATTTGCAACTAAATCTTACACCTGGGAAGGTTCCCTAAACCTCCAAGTCACCAATCGAAACCTCCAAGCAGAAACGTGCTTTGTGTGGGGTGGTACACCCCTCACTATAGCATCTAGCCTCATTTGTCTCCGGCCGCTGGCCACTGTGAAAACCCGTCGCCTTTTTGGCGGGACCTTCTCCGTGTTATGAGTGTGAATGCCAACTGTGCCAGCTTTGTTTTTTTGGCTTGGGTGATTGGAATGGTTGCAACGCAAAATGAACATTTGCTATAGTGAGGGGCATGCGACCCTAGTTGAAATCAGACTTGAGTGTCAGACACCACGGGCTCAATATGGAGTTGTGCCCTTCTGGGGGCTCCTTCAATTTTCAGACAACCCCCCCCCAGAAAACAAAGGAAACAAAGTAAGCAACGCCAGCTACTTAGATCGTGGGTCCTTGGGTGAATCCTTGGACGGGAACAGAAGCGGCAAAAGCGAAGTTGTGCGCATGTTGATGGATCGCAGACCGATAGGTTTATCTCAGACTTCGGGGATTCATTGTTTTTGCTTAGAGCCAAGAGGGATTGTTGGCATATGCAACTAAATGATTGGGATGGTAAATAATAAGGATTATAGAAACCATTTTCGTTTATGGAACCTTATGGTGGGTTTTATGTTAGTGCGTGGGAAGGCAAATAGGTCAAGAACAGAACAGATGTCCTCCAGGAGATTGATGGCCTTGTCGTGCAGCTTAAGGAGGTCCAGCAGGAGCCTTTCGAGCTGATGGCGGGTTGTTTAAAGACTCTCCAAACATTTGTCTCGCGCCTAACTGGTTTTGTTCAATTGCAACATGCGTTTAAACAGCAATACCCTTGTCTCCTTGAAAGGGAGCACCAGTGTTTGGCTTACTGATCAATCAGGGAGGGATTCATGGGGTCAAACTACCGAGCGAGAACACCGCCCTGCAAGGTTCAGTGAACATAAGGTAGCTGGATTCATCGAACACAGTTTGGCTGTCTGGGATTGTTTCGGGTGTGACCAGACATGTGGAGTGTGTCGTGTCATGTGTTCCATAGATGATTGGTTGCATTGCTTTGAAGGTCTTTGTTGCAGGTGGGGTGGCTGATGGTGGCTGTGATTCTGGAAGTGGTTTTGATTTGAGCGCCATGCACACTGAGAAAATGTCAGCACATCAGTTTTTTTTTTTTTTTTTTTTTTTTACGATTTCGGAAGGTGTTGATGCCTGTTACTGTTGTCCCGTTTGGCTAGCAGGGATGCTTGTTTGGCTTGCAAAAGCGGCAAGCATCCGAGTTTGCTGAGGCTCCCAAGCTTCACTCCTTCGTTCCCCATCGCTTGTGCTCAGACTGGCCGAAGTTACCTCGTGCGAGGCGAGCACGGCTTTGTTTGCTCCCACTGTTGCGGTTCACTCGACGAGCAAGCTTCCAACGGACGGAGTCCAGCAGTTTTGAACTACTTCAGTTGTTCAGTTCCAGAGCCCGGTTTTGCCGTTGGCCGAATTTTGGAAAAAACTTAGAAGGACCTCCATCAGACAAACTCCCGAACATCTTGATTCTTGTGCCCTGAGCTAGCAATACAAGCTTCCTCCACTTTTACTCGGATCGCTGCATTCCCCCAATTTCGGCCGTGTTTCCTGTTTGGTTCAAATTTGCAAGCATCGCCTACTGAAAAGGCGCCTGTTGTTGCTGGTGTTCTTTTGGCACGATGTTTAAAAGGAGATATGGGAACCCGAAGCTTGTTCGCCACAAATTCAACCCCCAAAGGGGCTCATGACTTCTTTTTGCAGGACCCTATGTTCGGCGCAGAGCTCTGAAGACTTGTCAATCAGCCAGTTCATTTGACAACCCCAGCTGTGACATGAGGGCTTATGGCAGAATTTATGTCTTTGGTGCGACCATTCACCTGAAGTGTTCCAACAATGATTGCTTTCCCTCCCACTAAAAGGGCCCTGATAGAGGGTCCGTTCAACAGGTAGCCTCCCACATGTTCCTTGCGGTGGGATGGGTCTTTCCCTAGCAACAAGCTTATCGCGAGCTGATGAGTTTGCCTCAGTCCTCATACTTGCCCTTTTGGGCGATTCATACATTACCATGTTGTTTCTATTTCGATATGAGTTCCCTTACGTGTGATGTTTAAAGTGGACAATATGGGTGTTGCTCAAAATACGGTTCCCTAAAGCGGGTTGGTTTCCTTGTGGTTTCCATTTACATACAAGTACCAACTAAAACGCGGTGGACGGCCAGTTGGAGAAACCTGAAATCACGAGCCCTATGCCTCTTCTGGGCTTCTCCGCTCCGAGTTGGTTCAAGGACGAAGTGAAGAGCAAGGATTCCTGCGTTCAGCGCCTGCACGAGAACAACATGGCGCCTTGGCATGAGTTTTGGGGTTACTCGTGCTAAACCCACAATCTAGTAGGCGGCCAGCCACTTTCCTTTACGCTTTTTAGATACGTTTTGCAACTAATCGGCTGCACAAAGGAACCCTTCCCCTCACAGATTCTCTTTGGAGGTGCAGGGCCTGTACTGTATGGAGAAGCCACACCACATTCCCAGCTGGGCCTTGGTTTTCCTCGAGGGAGTCATTTCATCAAGCCAAAGAAGCTAGGTTTTGACTATGGCACTTGGGTATGGCCGTTGATACCGAGAGTCTGCGTACAGAAAAGACCAACTGAAGGCGCTCGGACTGACTCAAAGCTGGGCAACTGAAAGCGTGACCTCACCAGTATTGGTTTTCGACCATGTGTGAATTCTAGCATCGTGGACCTCTAACGGGGGGCCCGGGGTGGGGCTGTCAGCTGTTAAACCCTTAAGAGGGAACTAGCGGCTTAGCCTCAGCTTATTATGGGCTTATCCAAGGACAACCCCACTCCCGCCTGAAAGGTCCATGATGGTGGCAACCGCCGTCTTTCGGGTATTGTGTTGCTTTGGGGCTTGGCACGCCAGAGCCCCCGAAGCCAACTTCAATCCATGAGGGGCGTTGGGTTCTTTTTTCTCTGTTTGGCCCGCAGGTGAGCTCCCCTTGTGGACGTGAGGGCGCGTTTTTTTCGCGCACTCCCCGAGGACACCACCAAGTCCACCAACGACAAGGCACAGGCGGAGAGCAAGCTCTCAGGCCTCAAGGACTGGCACCTCCCAGCCCCAGCCCCTCCTTTTGGCGCTCCAGTTTTTTGTTTGTTTTTTTTCTAGTTGTTTTTGTTTTTGTTTTTTGTTTTTTTTCTTTCTCCCCCAGGCCGAAAGAAGGGCTTGCGAAGGCCGTTTGGGGGGAACCAGGGCGAGGCCCGAGGCGGGGTGGATGGCAATCCTGTGGACTGCGCCCAAGCACTTCCTGAGTAAATTCGGGGCGAAGCCTCGTCAAGGCATGCATCCAGAGCACCCTTAGCGTCCGCCAAGTACATGAAGGCCAGGCCAACACCGAAAAGCGGCCGAAGGCCAGACATATTTTCCTATTTTATGACGAGGTCACCTGGGGATGACCCAGAAATGAAAACCATGATGAAGATCCCTGATTTCTGGTTTGGGAGTTCTACCGGTTTGCCCCGATATTTGACGCCCCAGATGTCTTTTTGTGGGACCAGCAATCGACTAGAAACAAGGGCACCCTTTACACTGGCAGCCCTGGATGCTGTTTGCTACAGGGCAAGCCACAGTTTCGCCATGACCATGAGGCGAGGGCAGAACCGCCTTGGCAAGGAACGTTTGGCAGTTTGAAAACGTGGAACAGGCACAGAGAACTCTTTTTTGTATCCTCCCTCACATTAACACGGCACCTGCCAGAGAGGCCATTCAAGAAGAGAATTCTCTACCAAGTATCCTCCCACAAATGCCTTCCGTAGTGGGAGGGCAGAAAAGTACTTGTGACACTCACCGCAAATGTGCCCGACCCAGCTTTGCAGCCTCGGGAAAGTCGAGTTGACAAGGACTTTGTGTCGCGCACCAACAGCAGCATCAAGACTCTGAACCTTGGCTTCAGTCGAGCCGGCCGTCGAGGTTGTGGCCTAAAATGAGGCCAAACCTCCTGGTTTGAACGGGTTTAGGGAGAAGCACGGGTAAGCGCAAACAGTGGTCCAAGGTTTAGCACGGCAAGCCGCACCCGCCTCCCTGCTTTCGGTTGGTTCTTCTTAGAAAGAACCTTCAGTGGGCCGGGCTTGGTATTCCATGATTCGTGATAAGGGCCACGGTCCTGTGTTTGTGACTACCTTATTGTGGCAGTATGAATCTATGTCCCTTAAAACTAGTGCTTATAGTTGAAGGTACTCCCAACAAAATATTTGGCAAAAGGCACCAATGAATATGGCCCTTGCTCTTAGGGATTGAAAAGACATGGGCATATAAGGAACCTAGAGACTCCAAAAGTACTTGGGTCCAATTTGGACATACCCGGACCCCCGAGCTGGTCATGGAGCCAGGAAGTACTGTAGCCAGGGAGTAGTATCATTTTCTGAGACATGCTGACAAAAATGAGCCTTGTCTGTTGTCAACCATTGCTGAAGGAAACAACACTGCCATTGCCAAAACAAGTCAACAACACTGCCATGCCCAAAATAAGCTGAACGCACACATGTCTCGCAAATCAGGCTGGCATTCTGTCTCTGTGGGCACTTGCAGGGCGTTTGATATCTGGAATTGTCTTGTACAAGTCATGTAATACATATATATATATATAGTAGATACATGCATTTACGTATTTGCATAGACAATGAAGGCAAAGATGCACGCGAGCTTCTATTTTCAAAGGTCTCGGCTGAGTCGGGCGGGGGAGTTGCTTGTGGACCATCGCGCCGTGAGGAAAGAGGAGATCAGTGCCCTGGAGTCGGAAGTGGAGTCTGCGAAGACCGACATGGAGCTGCGGCAGAAGGAGCCCGGGGGCCCAAGGCGCCGCAGGATGGATGCGGGGGTTGAGGTACTGCGTCGATTCCTGAAAGGATGCCGTCTGGGGCTAGAATAAGCTCGGGCGATATCCCCAACAGCACGACACCCTCCCAGAATCCTCGCGGAACGCCCCGGCACCATCCTTACCGCCGGTGTTGCTGAGGATGCCGCCTTGTAAAGCAAAGCTACGAGTGACAGCGCAATCTCGCCCTGATCGGGGCCCGACGGCGCAATCGGGGCCCGATCGTCCCGTGGTGCACCCCCAGCCACCCATATTGTAGCTCAACGCCGGTTTTCCTCAGCATGTGGATTGCATCTGTATCTTTAGCAAAACTAGGCGATGCCAGCTTGGTACAATTGACGGGGCCCGACTAAGTCGGGCCCCGATCGGGGCCCGACGGCGCAATCGGGGCGATCGGGGCCCGACGGCGCAATCGGGGCCCGACGGTGCAGCCCGATCGGGGCCCGACGTTGCAATCGGGGCCCGATCGGGGCCCGACGGTGCAATCGGGCCCCGATCGTCCCGTGGTAACCCCAGCCACCAATATTATAGCTCAACGCCGATTTTCCTTACTTAGCCGGCTGGGGATTACATATCTCTTATAAATCACTATAAGACTTAGCAGCGGGTTTATAAGGGTTACAAAATGTGGTTTAGGAGGTGGTTTAGGCAAGGGTTTAGCTAAAGTTTAGCTAAACCAGCTAAACCTGTTAAGGTGTTTTTTCTGTTGACTACAGCGCCTGTGTGCATTTTGTGCAATACTGCGTTTTCCTACCGCAAGCGAGACAAGCAAAGCCGCAGCGGGCAGCCCGCGCGGCCCCAAAGACGCATTTTTTCTAGAGCGATTCCACAGCTCGGATCAGAGCGCCTGCGCGGCTCCAGCACGTCGCCGCATGCGCGAGCCCGCGCGGCCTCACAGGCAACAGCTGCGTGTCAGGCAGCTGCTGCCAAGCTTGAGCCGCCTCATTGGCGTCATCGAGACAGCGCTCGCAGCGCGCCATGACAACCGCGAGTTCTGCGCGAAAGGACAAGCAAGCTCGGAGCACCCCGACATGAGCATCCACCCGCACAAAGTCGCCGACTTTGAAGAGGATGCCGGTGAAGCCTTATATATTCGTACACACAAGGGCATGTTTCATGAGCACACAGACAAGCATATACTGAAAAAGCCCAGCAGCGCATATGATCGGACACGGCCACGTCAGTGTCCAGGCGCGTCGAGCGAACAAGACCATCCGCATGCGGCGCCGCTCGCTGGTGCAGCATGATGCGCAAGCTCCGGGCGAGGACAGATCGCTCGAAGCTGGCATTCGGAGCCAGTCGCCCAGCTTGCTCTTTGAGCACCTTGTGTTTCCTCGCAGCATGTTTGCCGGGGTGCAAAAACAAGCACGACAGGGATTAATTCCAAACATGCAAAAAACACGTCGTGCGCATGATGCTGTCCTTTCAAGGCTAAAAGCATCGAAGATGCAGCCGTCGCGAACAGCTTGTGCGCTGATGTGATGGATGTAGTGGTGCTTCGGAATGACACAGGACTCTCCGTGGGCCGCGACGAAGGCGTCCAGATGGCAGCGGACCGCGTCCTGCAGCTTCGCCGCCAAGCGGCGCAGAGCATCACCGGGCAAGACTTGCTTCTTCAGCCGCAGATACAGTCGCACCATGTGAACGCATTGAATCAGCGAGCGTGTCTCGGCCGGCAACACGTCGGCGGTAACCAGGGCGGCGAAGGCCGCAAAGATCGGGAGCACGGTCAGCAAATCTGAAGCGTCCCCTTTCCAAACGCCGTCTGATTGCCGCGTCATGGCAAGCTTGATCTCGCGCCATCGGCTGGCTGGGAAACTCCAAGCGCTGGCAAAATCAGAGACGCTTTCCAAAGAAAGGCCATGGTTTTTGCAAGCTGCCATGTAGCATTGCACCTCTACATGACAGACACCGCCCTGCAAAAAGCAATGCATCGCGTCCCATGTCAAAATGCTGATGGGCGGGAACTGCACGCGCACCTCAGCATCGAAAAGGAGGCCGCTGGGGTGAAACACGAGGCCGCATGCCTTTTGTAGGCTCTCCAAGTCTTTTGTTGTGGCTGTGCGTGCAGATTGAGCTACCTCGTCTGCGAGCCGCCACACGTCCGTGTCGGAGACAGAGCGGAATGGGCCTGTGCTGCAAATTGTCACAATGCCCGGGAGATCAAGATTGGCGCCCTTCTTGACCACATTCAGGCAAGCCTTGGGCAGGACAGCCGTGGCCACACACCAGAAAAGAAAACAAGAGATTTGTGTATATAGGCTTTGAAAAGATGTGCTCAAAATGGCTATATAAGAGCGAGAGAAGGAGCTACACATGGCTTGTATCCAGCAGCGCCTTTTGCCAGCAGCGTCGACTTGATGGCAGCCTCATCCGCGACAAAGTTCACGAACCGCACTCGGCCAGACCGATGGCCGTAGGTAAATTCTGCGTTGTGAAGCCGACGCACGACCGCCCGGGTCACTTGCGACATGCCCGCGGGGATGGTCTTGAGTGTCTCTGAGCGAACGCAGGTCAACGGCACCCATAGATGCTCGTGCTGGAGGCAATGCCGCCAGTCTGCAAAGCTGAGGTAGACGGCAACGAAGCGCCGACGATTCTGAACTCTCAGTGGGTTACCAGCGGTGACCTCGTCGTGATATAAGATGCACCGCACTGGCGCGGCTGGACTGTCAGATCTTGCCCACGCTTCCATGCAATCGCGCCAGTCGCTGGAGCTCTGCACGAGGTAATCCACGGTGCGCTGGAAATCTAGATCAGGAATGGTGACGGCGCAGTCTGGCATTTGGAGATCTTCTACAAGGCCACGAAGAGGAGCCATAGCCTCTTCAGCATGTGCGTGCCGGATCCCGCTCTCTGACGCGGGGAGATCAGCGATGACGTCTGGTCGCTCTCTGGCAAACTTTAAGATCCGAGCCAGAGCGCAAGATGAAACGCCTCGCAAATGCAAATCCGAAACATCTGCCCTAGGTCGCTTCATGGCATGCAGAGGTCGCAGGACACATGGCGCAGTGATGCCGCGCGCCCCCCGCCGCAGGAGCCGCCGCTCGCGTCACTCGGGTCAATGACGCGAACAGGGGCAGCAGGCATCCGCGCGGCCAAGGCCGCGGCGAATTGACAAAGCACCCGCGCGGCCAAGACCGCTGCGAGTGAGAAAAAAAGGAAGCGCAGAAGCTAGCCGCGCGGCACGAGGCCGCGGCGACAGGTTTTTTTCCTGGAGAAGACGAGGGGTATGCCGAACGGATCTGTGAGCAATCAGGGCGGTTCAGGTGCCCGCTTCCAAAACTGCGGCCATGAACAGACGCGCGCCTAGCTTCAGCTCAGCTGGCTGCGGCTGCGCTTGGGTCGGTCGCGCTTGGGGCAGGCGACGCAGTCGACACCGGAGTCAAAACCGCGGCGGCCTCCTTCAAGCCCTTGGCAGCGTCGCCGGCCGTGTCGTTGGCCTCGAGGCATGCGGTGCGCAGGCTCTGCCAGAGAGGCTCTGTGGGCTCCAAGCGCTCAGCGGAAGACAGCAGCCTGTTGAGCTCGAACGACTTGTCCTGCATAGCTTTCTCAAGCTCTGCCAGCGTTTGCTCGAGCTCACACTCTGGCCCTTTTGCCCGCAAAGCGCGGGCGTGGGCACCGTGCTTTTCGAGCTTGGCGATTGCCGCTTGCAAGCTTTTGCTCCACTTGCGGCACAAGGTCTCGGCGTCCAGAGTGAGCACCGCATCGCCTGGCCGCGCTTCCTTGCGGAGGGTCCAGGCGTCCTGCTCCGACGTGGACACGTAGTCGTGGGAGTCGACGAAGTAGTACTCCGGCTCGTTCGCCGCGCGAAGGGCCTCTGACTTGGCCTCCCTCTGTTGCAACTTGGAGAGCTCCTTGGCTAGGATCTTCTCAGGGGGGTTGCCAAGGGCGGCGCCGACTTGCCAGCGCGACCTCAGTGCATTGTCAAAAAAAGTTCTCTGTTCAGAAACTTATGAGAAACTGCTCACTCGAATGGGCTCGTTTCTTTTTTATATAGAGCGAGACGCCACCAGTGTCCTAAGTGGTTCTCCCCCTCTTCGACCTTGCTGGTGTGCGTCTCTGCGTAGCCGTGCACCCAGTTCAGACCCAGGTTGTTCTCGCGGTAGGTTGCTATGAGCTTTTTCTTTTCTTCTGGGTCTTTAAGCAAGGAAAGGCACTTAGCCGCGGCGCCTTCGGGAGCCTCCTTCTTAGTCTGGTAGGCGAGCTTGTTGTGCAAGCTTTTGTAGGTCTCAGGGTCGATGCTGGCTTCCTTCTCGTTTTTTTTGCCCTTACCCTTCGCTTTTGCTTTAGGCTTAGCTGCTGGCTTTGCTTTTGGCGTAGTGGGCGCGGCGGAAGCGGCTCGTTTTCCCATGGCTGCGCTAGCTAGGTGGCCGAGGCACGCGAAAGCGGCTATCCCTACCCTATGTTGGATTGGAGCACGGGCCAAAGTAAATGAATCAGGCCACTATTCAATGGTTTTCCGTGTTATTCCAAAATGAAAAGTTCGAGATCCCTAGGGCACCTTGGTTGACACACTGAGGTGGTGAAAGAGCAGTAGGTCAAACTGATGCAACCTAATAAACTCATCATCGCTATCAATATCAATATTTTTGCCGCGCGGATGTCTCCGCTGCGGCATCTGCATGCTTCGACTGCGTGCATTTGCAAGCACATGAATCACTTGCAAACAAAGTATATATGACAACTGCCTGATCTAACATAGTAAGATAAATTCTTGAAACCAGATATTGGAGTGCTATCTGATGGATGTGGATGTAAGTCGTACTGCGTGTGTTTGTGATTGAAATGAATCTTGATCATGTGTCGTGCATCCATGCTTATGTCTCTTGCGTTCTGACATGTGTGTGCTGTAAAAAATACAACATGTTCACACATGCTGTAGTGTCTCATTCACAAAATTCATCCTGGAGACTACATAGTCTTTATGTTTTTTTTTTACGTGCCTCAAGCTTGAGTATTTCAT